GTAGAGCACAGGCTCTGGACGCACAGGCTCATCGGCCATGGCTCACGGGCCCAGCCGCTCCGCGGCATGTGGGATCCTCCCGGACCGGGGCACGAACCCGTGTCCCCTGCCTCGGCAGGTGGACTGTCTACCACTGCACCACCAGGGAAGCCCTTGAAGGACTTTTATTAGCCAAAATAATCTTGAGAAAGAAGTAAAAAGCTGGAGGCCTCACATTTCTGATTTCAAAACACATTCCAAAGCTACGGTAAGCAAAACAGTATGGTATTGGCATAAAGACAGACATGTAGACTAGACATGGAATAGACTAGAGTCCCAAAATAAACCTTCACGTATATCATTAAATATCTTTGACAAGGGTGCCAGGACTACACTATGGGGAAAGTCAGATATCCACAGGCAAAAGCATGAAGATGGACTCTTATCTTACACCATATACAAAAGATACTTTAGGTACCTGTTATAGGTGGAATCATGCAGTATTTGTTTGTGTTTCGCTTAATTCACTTAGTATCATATCTTCAAGGTTCATCCATGCTGTAGCATATGGCAGGATTTCCTTCTTTTTAAGCCTGAATAATATTCCATTGTATATATATACATACCACAGTTCCTTTGTCCATTCATTCATCAGTGGACATATAGGTTGCTTCCACATCTTGGCTGCTGTGAGTAATGCTGCAGTGAACTTGAGTGTGCAAATATCTCTTTGAGATATCCACATGCAAAAGAATGAAGATGGACTTATCTTACACCATGTACAAAAGTTAACTCGAAATTTGTTAAAAACCTAAACATGAGATCTGAAACTGTACAACTAGAAGAAAACATAGGTGAAAAGCTTTATGACACTGAAATGGGCAGTGATTTCTTGGATGTGACATCAAAAGTATAGGTAACAAAAGCAAAAATGAGACTATATCCCACTTAAATACTTCTGTACAGCATCAAAAATAATCAGTAGGATGAAAAGACAACCTACTAGAATAGAAGAAAGTAATTGCAAACCATATATCAGATAAGGGGTTAATAACCAGAGTATATAAAGAACTCCTACAACTCAAACAACAAAAAACAAAACAAAAAAACAACAAACACCTGATCTGAAAAAGGGGCAAAAGACTTAAATAGACATTTCTCCAAAGATGACATACAGATAACCAACAAGCATGTGAAAAAATTCTCAACATTACTAATCATCAGGTAAATGCAAATTAAAACCACAATGAGATATCACCTGTTAGAATGGCCACTATCAAAAAAACAGAAAATAACAAATGTGTTGGTGAGTATCAGAATTGGCACTCCATTGGTGGGATTATAAATGGTGTAGCTGATATGGGAAACAGTATGGAGATTTCTCAAAAATAGAATTTTTATGACCTAGCAGTCCCACTTCTGGGTATATATCCCAAAGAGTTGAAAACAGGATATCAAAGAGATAGCTGCACACCCAAGTTTATTGCAGCATAACCCGTAAGAGCCAAGATATAGAACCAACCTAAATGTTCACTGTTGAATGAATGAATAAAGAAAATGTGGTATGTACAACAGAATATTACTCAGCCTTAAAAAGAAGGAAATCTTGTCATATGCTACAATATGGGTGAATCTTGAAGACATTATACAGAGTGAAAAAAGCCAATCACAAAAAGACAAATACTTCATGATTCCACTTATATGAGGTATCTAAAGTAATAAGACTGATAGAAACAGAAAGTAGCATGGTGGTTGCCAGGGGGTGGGGGAGGGGGGAAACAGGGAGTTGTTCGATGGGTATAGAGTTTCATTTATGCAAGATGAGAAAGTTCTAGAGATCACTATACAATAACATGCACATAGCTGGCAGTAATGTACACTTAAAAATTAAGAGGTTAAATTTGTTATGTGTTTTTACCACATAATAAAATTTTAAAAAGACAACCTATTTGGAAGAAAATATAACTCAAGAGGCACAGCTTTGCATTAGAACTTAATAAGAACATAAAATGTTTTTGCCATATATGCTGCATGGCACATGATGCTGCACATGATGCTGGTCTTTTTGAACATGGGACTGGGAATTCTGAGCCCTGCACTAGTTATTTGGCTTTGGGCAAATAACATTGTTTCTCACAGTCTTGGATTTGTTTGTCATTTCTGAATTAAGACCTGTATTCTGTGTTTTATTGATAGAAAGGTAGCAGAGTTAATAATATAAAAGTAACAGGATTAATTGCTTCTTCCAAATGTCTTTTTTTTTTTTTTTTTAATTTTTGGCTGTGTTCGGTCTTCATTGCTGCAAGCGGGGGCTACTCTTCGTCATGGTATGCTGGCTTCTCATTGCGGTGGCTTCTCTTGTTGCAGAGTATGGGCTCTAGGCGCGCGGTCTTCAGTAGTTGCAGCACTTGGGCTCAGTAGTTGCGGCACGTGCACCCTAGAGTGCTAGTGCTTCAGTAGTTGCGGTGCGTGGGCTCAGTAGTTGCAGTGCACAGGCTCTAGGGCGCTTGGGCTTCAGTAGTTGTGGCTTGTGGGCTCTAGAGCACAGGCTCAGTAGTTGTGGTACACAGGCTTAGTTGCTCTGCAGCATGTGGGATCTTCCCAGACCAGGGATCTCACCCGTGTCCCTTGCATTGGCAGGCAGATTCTTAACCACTGTGCCACCAGGGAAGTCCATCTTCCTTTTTAATGCTACATTTTTTTTACTTCTTATTCTTTTGGCTTTGATAAGAACTAAATGCAGTTTATTGTTCCAGCACAATATATACATAAATGCTGCCTATCATTTTTGTAAATCAGATGAAGAAATCTTTCTTAAATCAGGTTTATTGAAGTATAATTTATATACAAGAGTCATCCTTTTTACTGTACAGTTGTATGAGATTTGACAAATGTGTACAGTTGTATAACCATCACCACCATGATCAAGACATAGAACAGTCCCCCCAAATTTATGCCCCTTTGTAGTCAATCCCTATGCCATCCCCAGCCTCTGGAAACCACTGATATGTTTTCTGTGCTTAGAATTTTGCCTTTTTAGAATTTCATATAAATAGAAGCATAATAGAGAGAACATTGACTCCCCTAATGTTGAAATTCCAAAACAATATGCCAAATGATTATATTTAAAGGCTGTAGACTGGTTTGAAATATGCTGTGTTTACATATCTAGGCTTACACCTGAGAATAGGACTTTGGTCACTAAAAACTAGACTAATTCTTGTATGAAGAAATGTTGGTACTCTGGAATTTTTTTTCTGTTAATTAGGTTCCTTTTGTATTTTTAGGTCTTGTATGCGTAATCCTATGGAAAACATTATGAAAACAGTGAAACTAATAGGAGAGACTTTCTGCCAACACTATACCCAATCAACAGATGAACAGCCAGGATCTCACATAGGTAAGAAGACAAAACAAATTGATAAAGCATTGAAAGTAGTTAGATTGTTCCAAGAAAAATAGAAACTCAAGTTTTTTCTTTCCCTGCAATTTTTAATATATCTGATTGAAGCTTATGTAAGTTTTGTTCTTTAGTTCTTAACAGCTACATTTATTTAGCACGTGTTTTCCCTTTGTTTCCCCCCGTAGATTTTGCTGTAAACAGACTAAAGCTTGCAGAAATTTTGTATTATAAAATATTAGAGACTGTAATGGTTCAGGAGACACGAAGACTTCATGGAATGGACATGTCAGTAAGTAAATTCACTCTCCCAGCGACTGACAAGGTCTACAGAACGTAAGCCTGGAAGCAATGTGTTGAGAGCCTCTGTAGTTCATTGTGGGGCTCAGCAGTTAATGGCAAACTTACCCATGATGGCATATTAATTGGCCTTAGTTGTCTTTGGCACACCCAGTGTTAGCCACCTCTAGGCAGAAATGTGAAATATGTAAAATTTTTCTTTGATGCACCATCATTATCCTTTCCCTTTGGTTGGTTTTTTGTCCTTCGTTCCTAGCTAGCTAATAATGAAATCCCCCAACTATTAAACCAACTGATAATTAAGATATCTAGCCATACCACTCAGGGAGTTTTGAGGAATAAAATGTTGATGGCTTTATTTATTTATTTTTTTGCTTCATTTTCTTTGGACATTTGATCAAGTCTGATCACTCTCTCCAATAGCTATGTAAAGGAATTTTTCTAAGAAGTCAAACTTAATCATATGATCTTTGTTTCCTCCTCCTCCTCTCTCTTGTCACTCTTGGAGCCTTCTGACCTTCAATTCCAGTAAGAAAAGTTGATGTTTGGAGGTGCTGCTTAACTAGTGTAATAAAATTTCTCTGTGTTTGCATCCTGGAAGTTTTCTTCTGTGTTGGTTCCCCATTTTTCCTGGATTCCACGTCTTTCTTTTTCATGATTTACTAATACTTGATAGAGCATATGCTCCCATAGCTTCTGGAGAAAGAAGTAAGTTTTCAACTTTTTATTTTGAAATAATTGTAGATTCACAGAAAGTTGCAAAAGTAGTACAGAGGGATCCCATGTATCCATTTGCCCCCAGTGGTTACATTTTACATAGTATATCAAAACCAGGAAATTGACATTAGAACAATGTATGTGTCTTGCTCTTTACCCTTATATCACATGTGTAGATTAGGTAACCACCACCAAAATCAAGATACAGAACTGTTCTTTTGCTGCAAAGATCTCCCTCATACTACCCCTTTTTAAGTGACACTCAGTCTCTTTAGCCACTAATTTGTTTTCCATATCTAAACTTTTATAGTACACTCTTATGAGTTCTTTTTGTTTATATTTGTTGAGGTTTATTTTATGACCCAGGATATGGTTTTTCTTGGTAAATGTTCTGGGCACTTGAAAAGAATGTGTGCTGTTGTTTGGGTGGAGTGTTCTGTAAATGTCAGTTCTATCTTGTTGGTTAATGGTGTTGAATTCTTCTGTATCCTTGCTAATTTTTGGTTTAGTTCTATCAGTTATTGAGAGGAGAAAAAGGTATTGAAGTCTCCAGGTAAAATTGTGGATTTGTCTCTTTCTCCTTTCAGTTCTATCAGATTTTTTTTTAATTCATGTAGTTTGAAGCTCTGCTGTTTGATGCATAGACATTGAGGATTACTATGTCTTCTTGGTGAATTAATCATTTTATCATGACAGAACATCCCTCTCTGAGTCTGGTAATTGTCTTTGTTCTGAAGTCATCTGGCTGATATTTATACAGGCATACCTAGTTTTATTGTGCTTCACTTTTTTGTGCTTCACAAATAGTGACTTTTTGATAAATTAAAGGTTTGCAGCAACCCTGCATCAAGTCTATTGGTGCCATATTTCTAACAGCATTTTCTCACTTCATTTCTCTGTGTCACATTTTGCTAACTGTAGCAATATTGCAATTTTTTCACTACTATTGTATTTGTTATAGTGATCTGTGATTAGTGATCTTTACTATTGCAAAAAGATTACGATCCACTGAAGCCTCAGGTGATGGTCAGCATTTTTTAGTAATAAAGTAATTTTTAATTAAGTTATTTTTTTAGACATAATGCTATTGCACACTTCATAGATTATAATATAGTGTAAGCATAACTTTTACATGCATTGGGAAACCAAAAAAATTTGTGTGACTTACTTTATTGTGATATTTGCTTTATTGCATATTCACTTTATTGCAGTGTTCTGGAACCTGGTATGCCTGTATATCTTTTTCCATTCTTTTTTTTTAAATTAATTAATTAATTTATTTTTGGCTGTGTTGGGTCTTCATTTCTGTGCGAGGGCTTTCTCTAGTTGTGGCAAGCGGGGGCCACTCTTCATCGTGGTGCGCAGGCCTCTCACTATCGTGGCCTCTCTTGTTGCGGAGCACAGGCTCCAGACGCGCAGGCTCAGTAGTTGTGGCACACGGGCCTAGTTGCTCCGCGGCATGTGGGATCCTCCCAGACCAGGGCTTGAACCCGTGTCCCCTGCATTAGCAGGCAGATTCTCAACCACTGACCACGAGGGAAGCCCTCTTTTTCCATTCTTTTACTTTCAATCTACCTGTAACATCCTTTGAAATTAGTTTCTTGTAGGCAGCATATAGTTGTCATGTTTTTTTTAATCTACTGTGTCAGGCTTTTTGTTTTAATAGGTAAATTTAATTTACCTATTAAATTTAATTATTGATTTGTTAGGGCATAAGTCTGCCATTTTATATTTTGTTTTCTGTTTTCTTTTTCCTACCTTCCTGTGGGTCAGTTTGAACATTTTTAGACTGTGTATCTTTGTATAGATTTTTTCTTTACTGGTTGCTCTAGGTATTACATTATACATACATAATTTCACAATCCAGTGGTATAGACATTTTTTTTTTTTTTTTTTTGGTATAGACATTTTATCAGCTCAAGTAAAGCATGGAAACCTTACCTTGCCTTAAGTGTCTTTTTTAAAACTGCATAAATGTCTTTATTTTATTGTATTTTTTTATTTTTTGGCCACACCACGTGACATGTGGGATCTTAGTTCCCTGACCAGGGATCAAACCCACACCTCCTGCATTGGAAGCGTGGAGTCTTAACCACTGGACTGCCAGGGAAGTCCAGAATGTCTTTATTTTAGACTCACACTTGATTAATAGTTGTCTTTGTATAATTTTATGATTTTAAAGGCATTGCTCCATTATCTTCTAGATTCCAGTATTGCTAATTAGAAATCCAGTGGCATTCTAATTCTTTGTATTGGTATGTGACCTGTTTTTACTTTCTGGAATCTTAGTTATCATTCTTTTATCACTAATGTTCTGAAATTTATAATAGAGTGCCTTAATCGTGGGTCTTTTCATTCATGTGTTGGGCATTCCTACAGAGTTCCTCTTTTAGTCCAGAAATTTACGTCCTGCAGTTCTGGGTCATTTTATTGCATTATTTCTTAGATAATGTATTGCCCACAATTTTATCTTTCTGGAGCTTTTATGATTCAGATAAAGGACCTTCTGGATTAATCCTCTTATTTTCTATTTCTTTGTCTTTTTGTTTTACTTCTAAGGATATTTACTCAATTTTTCACCATCCAATTCTAAAGAATTTTTTATTTTAGCTGTATTTTCGTTTCTAAGACTTATTCTTGGAGGTTAATTTAGATTTCTTTGAGGTTTTCTTCTGATGCCTGCATTGTCTCTGTTTCCTCTGAGTTTCTTTTCCATTTGTTTTGATCTTTGTTTTTCAGTTGGAGGCTTTCCTCAAATGTTGGATTATTCCTCAAATGTTGGATTACACCTTTGTCTTTCAGTTGGAGGCTTTCCTCAAATGTCTACTTTCTGAATAAGTCACTAAAAATGAGACATTAATAAACCCTGATGTTGACAAAACAGTTTGGCTCAAAGCTCTGTGTGCAAGAGTGAGAATAAAAGTCCAGTAGCCTCAAATGATCATGTAGTATAGGGACCCTCAACTGTTGGTGTCTTTAAGACTTCTCTGGAATATTTCAGTTTCTTTAGGAAAGTATCTGCTTGGCTGTTGGTGTTATAGAGCAGAGCAAGGAAGGGAAACTTGGTCTCACAATTCAGTCTGCAGACTTTCACCTAAAACCATGGTCTCTTCTATACCTGGTGTTCTCAAGCTCTGATTCTCTCTAGTTCAGTTTCTGTAGAGAATAATTCTCTAGATCCTTGTTGGGATAGACTAGAGACCTATCATCTGACTCCTTAGAGTGGATGTTGGGTGGGAGACTGAGGACTTCTGACTACCATAAACTTAAAAATCACCCATTCATGTCAGCCCCTGCCTAACCTGTACTTTTCATTCTGCCTGTGCCTTCAGTTGCTGTGTTTTTCCCAAGTTGAGTGCAGCAGATTCATCCACTGGACTGCCAGGGAAGTCCCAAGACTTTATCTTAGTAAAATATTTCTTTCTCTGAACTTTTAAAAATCTTAGCTGTGATATACTACACCTTTGATTTTAGTGTTTTGATTAGTAAACACTGCCCTCATGTTGACAAAACAGTTGACATAAAACTGTCATTTAAATAAAGGAGCCCAATTCTTATGCTTTTCTCTTGGCAGGAATATTAATTATTTTATTATTTACTCCAGTTTCAAAGTAGATTGTTGTTTATGCCTCATTTGAATTTAACATCTGTCACTGAGCAAGATTGTATCTTATAAGAAAACTATCAGTTTAAGAACTCAGATTTTTATCTCTGGTAATCTAGTATAATATAATGTACACTTATATAAGTTATGGTTTATAACTTACGTAAGATATAAGTTATTTTTTCTTGTTTCTATAGTCTTCTTTATATAATGGCAGAGGCTAAAATTGCTGAGAAATTTATTAAACTGTGGTCTTTCTCTTCCCCAAGGTTCTTTTAGAGCAGGATATATTTCATCATTCCTTGATGGCCTGTTGTTTGGAAATTGTGCTCTTTGCCTATAGCTCACCTCGTACTTTTCCCTGGATTATTCAAGTGCTTAATCTGCGACCATTTTATTTTTATAAGGTGAGATGAGAGCAAAGTTCTGTTATGGTGTGCCTCAAGTAAACATTCTGTTTGTCTTAATGCTGAAGAAGTGATGTCTGGAAAATATTTCCAGAGGTATTGTGAAAGCATTCCTTTTAGGGTGGAATCAAGGACAAAAGGGAGAGGAAGAGAGGGGATCAGTAAATTAAGCCAATCTCACAGCTTCAGTTTTTCCATCACTGACTTGCAAATGTGGCCAGGAACTAAGTCGTTAAGTTTGAATTTCCATATTATGAATGAAAATCATAATCCTGTTAAATAGATGTATGATGAAGAACAAAAACTCTTTCTCTCAGGAGAAAGAAAAGGTCTAAAATTAATTGTGGTCATGGTCTAGCTACTGAGGCTGTAATAACAGATGGTGCTCCTTCCCCAAATTTGACCAATTCACTGTGGATGAATCTTACTTACCCTTTTTTACCTGCTGGAACCTTTTTCTTACAGAACACAGAGGTCACAGCTGCAGTAACTAATGTTACCTGATGTCTGAATTTAAGACTGATGCTATTATTATACTGGTTGGCATAATTTAGTTAATATTTTGTCATCTGTGTTACTTACAAATTATTGATTATAGAAAAGTTAGTTTGATGAGTTAAATTTTTATACCTAAAGTTACAGAAATGCAGATCACTGAAAACCCTATCCATTTAAATTGTTGACTGAGTGGAATTTAAATTCTTTTTAGTTTTGTAAGGAAAATTGCTTCTCTATATTTACTTTAATGTTTATGTATGTGTTTCAGATTTTCCATTAGGAAATATATGTAATTTTATCTGAGGAAAAAGTTTAGTTTTTGCCCTCACCTAATAACAATTCATTTTTTTTTTTGTAACATCCTTTTTTCATTCAAGAAGTTAAATGCTGTTGATGTTGTTGTTTTTTTTTAATAAATTTATTTATTTATTTGTTTTTGCCTGCGTTGGATAACGGGCTTTCTCTAGTTGCTGCCAACAGGGGCTACTCTTCGTTGTGGTGCGTGGGCTTCTCATTGCGGTGGCTTTTCTTGTTGCTGTGCATGGGCTGTAGGCGCGTGGGCTTAAGTACTTGTGGCTCACGGGCTCTAGAGCACAGGCTTAGTAGTTGTGGCACGCGGGCTTAGTTGCTCCACAGCATGTGGGATCTTCCCGGACCAGGGCTCGAACCTGTGTCCTCTGCATTGGCAGGTGGATTCTCAGCCACTGCGCCACCAGGGAAGCCCCAATGCCGTTGTTTTTTTTTTTTTTTTTCCTTGCGTTATGCGGGCCTCTCACTGTTGTGGCCTCTCCCATTTGCGGAGCACAGGCTCCGGACGCGCAGGCTCAGCGGCCACGGCTCACGGGCCCAGCCGCTCCGCGGCATGTGGGATCCTCCCGAAACGGGGCACGAACCCGCGTCCCCTGCATCGGCAGGTGGACTCTCAAGCACTGCGCCACCAGGGAAGCCCCAATGCCGTTGTTTTTTAACCACATAAATAATATATACACCTTGAAGAAAAACAGAAAATACACACAAATGTAGATATTAAAGCCATATATTATAACCCTAATTACAAATAATAATCACTATTAATATTTATATATATATATTTACAGACTTTGCTCTAGATATTTACTCTTATTAAAATGGAACTATAGTGTATATAAACAAAGTTCCTTTTAAGTATGTTATTCATTCTTTCTTTTGAGCTGTTGGGAGGAATAGTCTAAGAAGGGGCAGTGAATTCAAAATAGCATTGGACTGGGAACCCAAGACCTGACTTCTGCCACTATTGGGCTGTTGACCACTTTCACCTATCATTGCCTCTGTTTTCCATGTGTAAAATAAAACATGAAAGCCAGAAATGTATGTGAAAGTATTTTGAAAATCTTAAAAACTTCTTTATAAATTAAAAATATATTAATAAGCCATAGAATTATGGTTCAAAGATATTCTTGGCTCTGTGTCATTAATAACAGCAGAGCTAGCCATACATGTCAGCCTAGTCTAGAACTGACTACTTGAGACCACATTACTTTCTCAGTTTTCTCTTCTCCAGGTTATTGAGGTGGTGATCCGCTCAGAGGAAGGACTCTCCAGGGACATGGTGAAACACCTGAACAGCATTGAAGAACAGATTTTGGAGAGTTTAGCATGGAGTCAAGATTCTGCGCTGTGGGAGGCTCTCCAGGCTTCTGCAAACAGAGTTCCTACCTGTGAAGAAGTGAGTTAGGGCAAGGCTAATAATCCCATCATTTTATGAAAGCAGCTTTATTGAGATGTGATTCCCATAACATACAATTCACCCATAAGTATACAATTCAGTGGTTTTTAGTATATTCATAGGTATGTGCAGTCATCACTACAGTCACTTTTGGAACACACCACCTCAACAAGAAACTTTACCTATCACTTCCGTAACCTCTGTCTTCTTGACCTAGCCCCTAAGCAACCAAGTAATCTACTTTCCATCTCTATTGATTTCCCTATTCTGGACATTTCATGTAAATGGAATCATACAATATGTGGTCCTTTTAAACTGACTTCTTTTTTTTTTTTTAAACATCTTTATTGGAGTATAATTGCTTTACAATGGTCTATTAGTTTCTGCTTTATAACAAGGTGAATCAGTTATACATATACATATATCCCCATATCTCCTCCCTCTTGCGTCTTCCTCCCACCCTCCTTATCCCACCCCTCTAGGTGGTTACAAAGCACTGGGCTGATCTCCCTGTGCTATGCGGCTGCTTCCCACTAGCTATTTTACATTTGGTAGTGTATATATGTCCATGCCACTCTCTCACTTTGTCCCAGCTTACCCTTCCCTCTCCCTATGTCCTCAAGTCCATTCTCTACATCTGTGTCTTTATTCCTGTCCTCCCCCTAGGTTCTTCAGAACCTTTTTTTTTTTTTTTTTTTTAGATTCCATATATACGTGTTAGCATATCATATTTTGTTTTTCTCTTTCTGACTTAGTTCACTCTGTATGACAGACTCTAGGTCCATCCACCTCACTACAAATAACTCAGTTTTGTTTCTTTTTATGGCTGAGTATAACTGACTTCTTTTATTGGCATAATGATTTTAGGTTCATCCATGTTGTTGTATGTATCAGCACTTCGTTCCTTTTTATAGCTTACTAATATCCCATTGTATGGATATACCAGTTTGTTTATTCATTTATTAATGGATAAACTTGTGTTGTTTCCACCTTTTGACTATTATGAATAATGCTGCTATGAACATTCATGAACAAGTTTTTGTGTGGACATATGTTTTCATTTTTCTTTTTTTTTTTTTTTTTGTGGCACGCGGCCTCTCACTGTTGTGGCCTCTCCCGTTGCGGAGCACAGGCTCCGGTTGCTCAGGCTCAGTGGCCATGGCTCACGGGCCTAGCCACTCCACGGCATGTGGGATCTTCCTGGACCGGGGCACGAACCCATGTCCCCTGCATCGGCCGGCGGACTCTCAACCACTGCACCACCAGGGAAGCCCTTCATTTTTCTTGAGTATATGGCTAGCAGTGGAATTGCTGGGCCATATAGTAACTCTCTTTAAGCCTTTGGGGAACCGTCAGACTGTTTTCCAAAGTGGCTGCACCATTTAACGTTCCCACCATCAGTGTATAAAGATTCTAATATCTCCACATCCTCTCCAGTGCCTATTATCTGTCTTCTTGATTCTAACCATCATAGTAGGCATGAAGTATTATCTCACTGTGGTTTTTTTTTGCATTCCCCTGATGGCTAATGATATTCAACATCATTTCATGTGCTTATTGGCCATTTCTTTATCATCTTTGGAGAAATATCTATTCAGATCCTTTGCCCATTTTTTATTTGGGTTGTCTTTTTATTATTGAGTTATAGGGTTCTTTATATATTTTAGATACACTCCTTTATCCGATATATGATTGGTAAAACTTTTCTCCCATTCTTTGGGTTGTCTTTTTACTTTCCTGATGATGACCTTTGAAACACAAAAGTTTTAAATTTTGATGATATCCAGTTTATTCTTCTGTTGCTTGTGCTTTCAGTATCAGATCTAAGAAACCATTAATCCCATCATTTTTAATTTTTTAAATATCCATGTAAAAAATTAAACACTTTTAATTAGTAGTATTTACAATAAAAAGATTAAAAGCTTCTACCTAATGCACACAAATGGCACATTTAGCAGTTTAGTATCATGAGAAATTGAGTTTTTTCCCTTCACCTCTGTGTTATTCTTTTTTAACTCCTGTCTATACATCCTTCTTTGCTTTTCTGTGTCTCCTTATACTTCATTAATCTTCTTGAGTTGTTCTCTAATCTCAAACAACTGAAAGAACTATTTAGGAAGAACTGAAAAGATGATTTCTTAAAGCCTCTCTTCCATGCTTCTTTGGTCTTTTGCAGCAGACTGTGATTAATTGGGCAATCTTCAGTATTCATCAATATTTCCATTATGGAATCCATTGGGAAGTGGAAAAAAAAGCTATGAACTTAAAAGAGAAGGATTTGGGTTGAAGCCCTTGCTCTAATATTTGGTAGTACTGTGTCCTTGGGCAGATTTCACATTTTTGAGCCTCAATTTTCTCAACCATAAGTGAAGAATAGCAGTGCCTTACCTCATAGGTTTACTTCTAGTGGTCAGTAAACTTTACTAGATATATTATAAGATTAAGTGAGATAAACTCTTTACATATCTTTAATAATGTTAACTATTGAGCACTTTATGCAAGTTGGTATATTTTGTGAAGGACAGGGAAATAAAACAGTAAAAAGTTAAGAAGACTTTCTTTCTCATTTTTTCTGTTATGTTTTGATCAGTGGGTTTATCTGTGTGTAAAGCAGAGGGTTTTTGTTTTCTACAGGTTATATTCCCAAATAATTTTGAAACAGGAAATGGGGGAAATGTACAGGGACATCTTCCCATGATGCCAATGTCTCCTCTAATGCATCCAAGGGTCAAGGAAGTTCGGACTGACAGTGGGAGTCTTCGAAAGGGTAGGTTCAACATTGGTAAAACAATGAAAAAATAACAAACATCTTTTTTTAGAGAAAATTTCAGGTCTTGCCTAATGTATTATTAAGAAATACAATTTTTTTATCAAGATTTGAAAGGGGATTAATGTTTATGCCAATACCCAGTGTGGCTCACTGTATACTTTTTTGTATTAAAGTAATAAGATTTCCACTCTGATTTTGAATCTAATCTATTTTTTAAATTGCAATGTCTATTATTGTGGAGATAGTATTTTGGCTTTTTCATAAATATACACAACTTTTCCTCAATGCTAATGGAAAACTATTTAAGCTAAATACCTACTTTTCCAAATGTGATAAAAGTTATATTCTTTATCTCTAAATCTTTATAGAAAAATAAACGTTTAAAGCAGAACAAAGAACTCTTTGGGATACTTAAATTCATCTAATAAATTACTTGTCTATACTCTCTCAAAATAGTTCATTTGAGCCTTACTAATAGGAAGATTTTAGTGCATTATTCTTTATTTTCTCTTGTGATGTAGCAAACTGATATGTGCATCTTCTGGATTATTTTACTCTTGGATTTTTAAAAATCACTTAAAATCTTCTGATGACAATATCCCTGAATAAACCTCAGATGTACAAGTATTCAGGTTACATAGTAAGGTAGCTCAAGACCCACTTTTGGACTATAATTGTGTGTGTCTTGCTTTACACGTAGTATAAGGTCATAAAAATGTGCACACTGTGCATGCAAAACAATCTTCATTAAGCAAGGGGAATAATTAGGATTGTTTTATGACCTTTAAAAATCTTGTCAAACCTAAAAACTCTCTTACTGTCAATTATTAACATTTTAAAAAATTTAAAAATAGTAAAAATATTTACTTGGTACACTACAATTGGAAACATTGAGAATGAAAGTGTTTTGTTTTTTAAAAAGTCGTAAAGAATAGTTTAAATGGTGCTTGCCACTTTCTTCTCATATAACTTACAATACTGAGTGAGCTTCTTTCCTGTGCCTTGGTGAACTGTCGTGTTCCTTTCTAAGTTTGGACCAGCTCTTAACATTTTATCCTTTGTGCTTTCAGTGTTGTGAAATATTTCTGAGAGTTCCTTTAAAATGAAGTTTTTTGCCATCATAACTTCCTGTTGGATGTCTTCATCCTATTTATCTTAACAACTTTTCGCATTTATATCAATAAGTCTCATCTTCCCACAGTTCTTCTGGCTGTATATCTAATCTCTTGAATAGCAGCAGTGTCAACATTCCTAGGGTCAGCTATTTTTTCTATAACTTCATTAACTATTTCAATTTCACTTTCAGCATTATCACTTTTCAATTCTTTGTTGAACTTGCACTTTTTTGGGGGGGCCATTCCCTCTTTCATTTGTCTATTTTGTAAAATGCGGGTTTATCACTGGGAAATAAGGAGACAACATAACCATATGCTTTGCTGCCTGCATGAATTGAGCCAGCAGATTTGCCCTGAACAATCACCAACAGACTTTGAAAGAAGTAACAGGATTGGTCACTGATCATGATGCACATCTACTTTTCACACAATGATTTATGTAAATCCTCATGGGAAAAGTTTGTCGTTTATGCAGTTACTCACAGTTAATATACCATGGCAACTGAAATCTGAACCTTTTTGTTAAGGCTGTCGTTAATTTATGCTATGATAACTGAAACTCATGCATACTTTAACTGTACAAAGCATGAACTCTGTGCGTATGCATGTGTATGTATCTGACTATAATGTGTATGTATATATAATATATATTATATATATATTATATGTTATATGTGTGTGTGTTTGTGTGTTTGAAGCCTAGCTAGAGATCTCAGAACTAAGATCATGAAGAAGTGGTCACTAAAATGTAATTCTCTCCTGGTGGTGGAATTTTGAGTGTTACCTTTTTCATTACAGTTTTTTGGTATCATTTGAGTTTTTTCAGTGAGCTTTTAAAAATTGAGATATAATTCACATCGCATAAAATTCACCCTTTTAAAATATACAATTCAGTATATTTACAAGACTATACAACTATCACCATTATCTAATTCCAGAACATTTTTATCACCCCCCCCCAAAAAAAAAAACAAACCTGTATCCAATAGTAATCGCTCTCTATTTCCTCCTCTACCAAGACCCTGGAACTACTAATCTATTCTTTGTCTCTATGGATCTTCCTGTTCTGGACATTTCATATAAATGGAATTATATAATATGTGACCTTTGTGACTGGATTCTTTTACTTATCATGTTTTCAAGATATATATGTTGTCGCATGTGTCAACACTTCATTACGCTGAATAATTTTTCATTGTATGGATATACTGTATATTGTTCGTTCGTTAATGGACATTTGGATTATTTCTACTTGTTGGTTTTTATGAATAACGCTGCTGTGAACATTCAGGTGATATATTATTTTTATGATTAGAAGAAAACGGTATTTTCTTATAGGGGTTCAGGCAAGAGAATCAAATAATGGAAAATTCTTAGAAAACAATAATACTGAGCCTTGACTCTGGGAGAAAAAAGGCAATTTATTAACATATATTTGTTAAATTTTTATTGTCTACTGCAGCTTTTCCAGTACTGTGCTAGGAAGAGCATCATTTCAAGGGGCTTGCAGCTAACTTCATGGCTATAACATGAGTTTTCCCTTGAAATGTCAGCTCTGAACATTCCAAGTCAGATTCAAGGGCTGCATTCGTTTTCTTAGATATAAGGTATCCAGGTAGACTTCTGTTAAGGGGTAATGGGAGCTACAATAGAACTTTCCACTTTTTTACTAAGACTGGAAGTCAGAGCTGCTTTTATAACCTCCAGAATTATGGAGAGATTTTTATTAAACCATGACTATTCCCCACTTACCTCAGTAATACAGAGAGCTGTCAAATTATTGCCAGAGGTAATTTCTATACCTTTTTAACATGTTTTGAAAATAGATGACATGGCTGTCTAATTATCTAGTAATTGTAAAAATAATTAGTGAAATGTTTTTACTTTAAAAACATGTTATATACCTGTAAAGAAACAGTGGGTTGAGGGAAGTAGGGGGAAAATGGTGGGAAAAGATGTAGGATTGGCTAGGAGAGGCTTTGCACCTAGTGGAGATAGAAAGGAGAGCAGTTTCTGCAGAAGGATAGCACTGGAAAAGAGGTTTAATCCATACTTTACTTTCTTTTTGATCAACACACTAATGCCTCAGATTAAGGCAAGTTAAGCAGAGTCATAACACTTCTACTCATCTTTATCTTCTGGTGGACTTATAAAAGATGATTCAGCCTCTACTAAATCAGAAAGCCACAGCTACTGCCTTAAACTGTTTGAAGTGTGGGCATGTGGTGAAGGCAAAATTGTGAACCAAATCACTGATTTTTCCTTCTGATCAGGAGTTATTTACTAGATAAGATTGGGAGATAGAAGCTAGTTGGACTACTTTTGAAATTTAGCAGTCACCACATTCTACTTCTCACCTTCTACTTTACCCTTAATATTTTGCTTCTTTAATATAGGCAGAGGTTCAAGAAACCAGGAAGGTGAGCTCTCATACTTTTATTTTAAGATTTACTTCATTCTTCTCTCTCGCACTAGACTCGATTATTCCATGAGGACAGAGGCCATGTTATTAGCATAGTAACTCAATCTCTATTTGTTGAATGAGTGGATAAACCTGACTTATTATTTTGGAATACATGTCAAACTGTTATAAATTTTTCTCTTTATTAGATACGCAATCATTGTCTCCAATTTCTGTCCATGAACGCTACAGTTCTCCTACCGCTGGGAGTGCTAAGAGAAGACTTTTTGGGGAAGACCCCCCAAAGGAAATGCTTATGGACAGGATCATAACAGAAGGAACAAAATTGAAAATTGCTCCTTCTTCAAGCATTACTGCTGAAAATATATCAATTTCACCTGGGCAAAGTCTTCTAACAATGGCCACAGCCATAGTAACAGGGACAACAGGACATAAAGTTACAATCCCATTGCATGGTAACATTTTGATGCATTTATTTTATATTTTTTCTGAGTTGGGTGAAAATTTAAGAAATGTCTTATTGGACTGATCACATGGTTTTATTATTCCAGTATTTTTTCTTGAACCTATATACTTTTTTTTCTCTTTGGCTGTGTTTGGTCTTCGTTGCTGTGCACGGGCTTTCTCTAGTTATGGGGAGCAGGGGCTACTCTTCATTGCAGTGCGCGGGCTTCTCATTGCGGTGGCTTCTCCTGTTGCGGAACATGGGCTCTAGGCGTGCGGGCTTCAGTAGTTGCAGCACACAGGCTTCAGTAGTTGCGGCACGAGGTCTCAGTAGTTGCGGCTCGAGCACACGTGGGCTTCAGTAGTTGTGGCACATAGGCTTAGTATTTGTGGCTTGTGGGCTCTAGAGTACAGGCTCAGTAGTTGTGGCGCACAGGCTTAGTTGCTCCATGGCATGTGGGATCTTCCCAGACCAGGGATCGAACCTGTGTCACCTGCATTGGAAGGCAGATTCTTAACCACTTTGCCACCAGGGAAGTCCCTGAACCCATATTTTTTTTTTCTCTAAGAGCAGTTTTAGGTTCATGGCAAAATTGAGCCTTCGTTGTCATCAACATCCTGCACCAGAGAGACACATGTATTACAATTGATGAACTTTCATGGACACATCATTATCACCCCAAGTCCATAGTTTGCATTAGGGTTCACTCTTTGGTGTTGTACATTCTATGAATTTTGACAAATGTCTAATGACACATATCTACCATTATACTGTTATACAGAATAGTTTCACTGCCCTAAAGATCCTTTGTACTCCACCCTTTTGTTTTGTTTTGAACCTATAGAGGCATTCCTAGTATTATTGCACTTTGCTTTGTTGCACTTTACAGATACTATTTTTTTTTTTTTTTTTTTTACAAATCGAAGGTTTCTGGCAACCCTGTGTTGTCACATGATGATTAGCATTTTTTAGCAACAAAGTATTTTTTATTTGAGGTATGTACATTGTTTTTTAGACATAATGCTATTGCACACTTAATAAACTGCAATATAGCATAAACATAATTTTTATGTGCACTAGGAATCCAAAAAATTCATGTGACTCACTTTATTGTGATACTCAATTTATTGTAATGGTCTGGAAACAAACTCGCAATATGTCTGAGGTATGCCTGCACTGTTTTTTGAATTTTCACATTTTATAAATTTACAACCCTCTTTGTTAGGACTTATTTTATTTTCTTATCTGAGTTTTACAAATAAGTGCATTGAGGAAGAATTTTATTTATTGATTAAAAACATCTCCTTTAGAGCTCAAAAGAAAACAATTTTATTGTTTCAGAGCAGAAATAGAAAATAAGAGTATCATAACCTAGAATTACTATTTTTGTGGCTTTCTTCTAACATATTCCTATGCATAGATAGATAGATAGATAGTAAAGGAAGGAAGGGAGGGAGAGAGGGAGGAAGGAAGCAAGGAAGGAAGAATTGACAACTTTTCTGGGACACATTTCTAAAACTAAGAACTCTTGCTTGTACATTCAGGTATTGCAAATGATGCTGGAGAGATCACACTGATACCAATTTCCATGAATACAACTCAGGAGTCCAAAGTCGAGAGTCCTGTATCACTTACGGCTCAGTCATTAATTGGTGCTTCTCCAAAACAGACCCATTTGACTAAAGCACAAGAGGTACATTCAGTTGGAATAAGCAAACCAAAGAGAACTGGGTCCTTAGCACTGTTTTATAGAAAGGTACGTGTACGTGTTTTTATAGCATCTAAAAAGTTCTTTAATCAATGCAAGAAAGATTGATAACAGAGGGCAGCTTTAGCCTTCTTTTTTTGTGTGTGGTAAAATATACATGAAATTTACTATTTTAACCATGTTTAAGTGTACAGCTAAATGTCATTGGTACATTCACATTGTTGTGCAGTTTCCACCATCATCCATCTCCAGACGTTTTCATCTTCCTAAACTGAAACTCTGTACGCATTAAATAGTAACTCCTCATTTCTTCCCCCCACCCCCAGCCCCTGGTAGCCATTATTCTGCTTTCTGTCTCTATGAATTTGACTACTCTAGGTACCTCATATAAGTGGAATTATATAACGTTTGTCCTTTTTTGACAGGCTTATTTCACTTAGCATAATGTTTTCAAGGTTCTTCCATATTATAGCATGGTCAGAACTTCCTTCCTTTTTAAAACTAATATTCCATGGTATGTATATACCATATTTTGTTTATCCATTCATCTATAGATGGACATTTGGGTTGTTTCTACCTTTTGGTTATTGTGAGTGTATAGTGTTGCTATGAACATTGGTGTACAGATATCCAAGTCTGCTTTCAATTCTTTTGGGTATATACAGAAATGGAGTAGTAATTCTAAATTTAATTTTTGAGAAAATGCTATGCAGTTTCCCACAGTGGCTGCACCATTTATATTCCTGCTAGCAACATACAAGGGTTTTCCACAATATTGTGAAATACAAGTGTTTTTCTCTTTCTGACTTACTTCACTCTTTATGACAGTCTCTAGATCCATCCACCTCACTACAAATAACTCAATTTCGTTTCTTTTTATGGCTGAGTAATATTCCATTGTATATATGAGCCACATCTTCTTTATCTGTTCATCTGTCAATGGACACTTAGGTTGCTTCCATGTCCTGGCTGTTGTAAGTAGAGCTGCAATTAACATTGTGGTACATGACTCTTTTTGAATTATGGTTTTCTCAGGGTATATGCCCAATAGTGGGAGCGCTGGGTCATATGGTTGTTCTATTTTTACTTTTTTAAGGAACCTCCATACTGTTCTCCATAGTGGTTGTATCAATTTACATTGAGGAAGCTCCACACTGTTTTCCATCGTGGTTCTATCAATTTACATTCCCACAAACAGTGCAAGAGGGTTCCCTTTTCTCCACATCCTCTCCAGCATTTATTGTTTGTGGGTTTGTGTAGATTTTTTGATGATGGCCGTTCTGACCAGTGTGAGATGATAACCTCATTGTAGTTTTGATTTGCATGTCTCTAATGATTAGTGATTTTGAGCATCCTTTCATGTGTTTGTTGACAATCTGTATATCTTCTTTGGAGAAATGTCTATTTAGGTCTTCTGCCCATTTTTGGATTGGGTTGTTTGGTTTTTTGATATCGAGCTGAATGAGCTGCTTGTATATTTTGGAGATTAATCCTTTGTCAGTTGCTTCATTTGCAAATATTTTCTCCCATTCTGAGGGTTGTCTTTTCATCTTGTTTATGGTTTCCTTTACTGTGCAAAAGCATTTAAGTTTCATTAGGTCCCATTTGTTTATTTTTGTTTTTATTTCTATTTCTCTACAAGGTGGGTGAAACAGAATCTTGCTGTGATGTATGTCATGGAGTGTTCTGCCTATGTTTTCCTCTAAGAATTTTATTGTGTCTGGCCTTAGGTTTAGGTCTTTAATCCATTTTGAGTTTATTTTTGTGTATGGTGTTAAGGACTGTTCTAATTTCATTCTTTTACATGTAGCTGTCCAGTTTTCCCAGCACCACTTATTGAAGAGGCTGTCTTTTCTCCATTGTATATTCGTGCCTCCTTTATTAAAGATAAGGTGACCATATGTGCGTGGGTTTATGTTTGGGCTTTCTATCCTGTTCCATTGATCTATACTTCTGTTTTTGTGCCAGTACCATATTGTCTTGATTACTGTAGCTTTGTAGTATAGTCCAAAGTCAAGGAGCCTGATTCCTCCAGCTCTGTTTTTCTTTCTCAAGATTGCTTTGGCTATTCGGGGTCTTTTGTGTTTCCATGCAAATTGTGAAATATTTGTTCTAGTTCTGTCAAAAATGCCATTGGTAGCTTGATAGGGATTGCATTGAATCTGTAGATTGCTTTGGGTAGTATAGTCATTTTCACAATGTTGATTCTTCCAGTCCAAGAACATGGTATGTCTCTCCATCTGTTTGTATCCTCTTTGATTTCTTTCATCAGTGTCTTATAGTTTTCCGCATACAGGTCTTTTGTCACCTTAGGTAGGTTTATTCCTAGGTATTTTATTCTTTTCTTGCAGTGGTAAATGGGAGTGTTTCCTTAATTTCTCTTTCAGATTTTTCATTATTAGTTTATAAGAATGCAAGAGATTTCTGTGCATTAATTTTATATCCTGCTACTTTACCAAATGCATTGATTAGCTCTAGTAGTTTTTTGGTAGCATCTTTAGGATTCACTATGTATAGTATCATGTCATCTGCGAACAGTGACAGTTTTACTTCATTTTTTCCAAGTTGGATTCCTTTTATTTCTTTTTCTTCTCTGATTGCTGTGGCTAAAACTTCCAAAACTATGTTGAATAATAGTGGTGAGAGTGGGCAATCTTGTCTTGTTCCCGATCTTAGTGGAAATGGTTTCAGGTTTTCACCATTGGGAACGATGTTGGCTGTGGGTTTGTCATATATGGCTTTATTATGTTAAGTTCCCTCTATGCCTACTTTCTGGAGAGTTTTTTATCATAAATGGCTGTTGAATTTTGTCAAAAGCTTTTTCTGCATCTATTGAGATGATCATATGGTTTTTATTCTTCAATTTGTTAGTATGGTTTATCACATTGATTGATTCTGTATGTTGAAGAATCCTTGCATTCCTGGGATAAACCCCACTTGATCATGGTGTATGTGCCTTTCAATGTGCTGTTGGATTCTGTTTGCTAGTATTTTGTTGAGGATTTTTGCATCTGTGTTCATCAGTGATATTGGCCTGTAGTTTTCTTTTTTTGTGACATCTTTGTCTGGTCTTGGTATCAGGGTGACAGTGGACTTGTAGAATGAGTTTGGGAGTGTTCCTCCCTCTGCTATATTTTGGAAGAGTTTGAGAAGGATATGTGTTAGCTCTTCTCTAAATGTTTGCTAGAATTCTCCTGTGAGTCCATTTGGTCCTTGGCTTTTGTTTGTTGGAAGATTTTTAATCACAGTTTCAATTTCAGTGCTTGTGATTGGTCTATTCATGTTTTCTATTTCTTCCTGGTTCAGTCTTGGAAGGTTATACCTTTCTAAGAATTTGTCCATTTCTTCCAGGTTGTCCATTTTTTTGACATATAGTTGCTTTTAGTAATCTCTCATGATCCTTTGTATTTCTGCAGTGTCAGTTATTATTTCTCCTTTTTCATTTCTAATTCAATTGATGTGAGTCTTCTCCCTTTTTTTCCTGATGAGTCTGGCTAGTGGTTTATCATTTTTGTTTTTCTTCTCAAAGAACCATCTTTTAGTTTTATTGATCTTAGCTATTTTTTCCTTCATTTCTTTTTCATTATTTCTGATCTCCTCTTTATTATTTCTTTCCTTCTGCTAACTTTGAGGGTTTTTTGTTCTTCTTTCTCTAATTGCTTTAGATATAAGGTTAGGTTGTTTATTTGAGATGTTTCTTGAGGTAGGATTGTATTGCTATAAATGTCCCTCTTAGAACTGTTTTTGCTGCATCCCATAGGTTTTGGGTCGTCATGTTTTCCTTGTCATTTGTTTCTAGGTATTTTTTGATTACCTCTTTGATTTCTTCAGTGATCTCTTGGTTATTTAGTAGTGTGTTGTTTAGCCTTCATGTGTGTGTATTTTTCACACCTTTTTTCCTGTTATTGGTATCTAGTCTCATAGCATTGTGGTCAGAAAACATACTTGATACAATTTCAATTTTCTTAAATTTAGCAAGGCTTGAGTTGTGACCCAAGATATGATCTGTCCTGGAAAATGTTCTATGAGCACTTGAGAAGAAAGTGTATTCTGTTGTTTTGGGATGGGATGTCCTATAAATATCAATTAAGTCCATCTTGTTTAATGTGTCATTTAAAGCTTGTGTTTCCTTATTTATTTTCATTTTGGGTGTTCTGTCCATTGGTGAAAGTGGGGTGTTAAAGTCTCCTACTAGTATTGTGTTGCTGTCGATTTCCCCTTTTATGGCTGTTAGCATTTGCCTTATGTACTGAGGTGCTCCTGTGTTGGGTGCATAAATATTTACAAATGTTATATCTTCTTGGATTGATCCTTGATCATTATGTAGTGTCCTTCCTTGTCTCTTATAACAGTCTTTATTTTAAAGTCTACTTTATCTGATATGAGAATTGCTCCTCCAGCTTTCTTTTGATTTCCATTTGCATGGAATATCTTTTTCCATCCCCTCACTTTCAGTCTGTATGTGTCCCTAGGTCTGAAGTGGGTCTCTTGTAGACAGCGTATATACGGGTTATGTTTTTGTATCCATTCAGCCAGTCTATGTCTTTTGGTTGGAGCATTTAATCCATTTACATTTAAGGTATATATCAATATATATGTTCCTGTTACCATTTTCTTAATTGTTTTGCATTTGTTATTGTAGGTGTTTTCCTTCTCTTGTGTTTCCTGCTTAGGGAAGTTTCTTTAGCATTTGTTGTAAAGCTGGTGTGGTGGTGATGAATTCTCTTAGCTTCTGCTTGTCTGTAAAGGTTTCAATTGCTCCATCAAATCTGAATGAGATCCTCGATGGGTAGAGTAATCTTGGTTGTAGGTTTGTCTCTTTCATCACTTTAAATATGTCCTACCACTCCCTTCTGGCTTGCAGAGTTTCTGCTGAGAAATCAGCTGTTAACATTATGGGGATTCCCTTGTATGTTATTTGTTGCTTTTCCCTTGCTGCTTTTAAAATTTTTTCTTTGTATTTAATTTTTGATCATTTGATTAATATGTGTTTTGGCGTGTTTCTCCTTGGGTTTATTCTGTATGGGACTCTCTGTGCTTCCTGGACT